GGGGCTCAATCCCACAAACCATAAGCTGAAATTAAGAGTCAGACAAATAGCTCTCCTTTTTAAATGGAATGATTCCCAGGTCCAGTCTTCGAGGGAACATCCCTTTCACTTTCCCGAGCTCCCACAGTGCATCTCATCCAGCATGGCAGGCCTGGTGCTCTAGGGTAGAGCTCATCCTTGTTCATGCACCAGGACCAAGCTTTCTAGTACTTTTTGCTGCTCTATAATCAAAAGAAGGAAAAAAATTGTAAATAAAGAGCCTCAGAAAATCTGAGAATGTCAAAAATGCTACAAGCAAAAAACTGGAGAGTGGAAAAATCACTGAGTCAGCCTTCCTATGTACTTCTTGCTTTACAATGAACAATAAAAAAGAAATGAGAAATTTATGATGTGCCTTTTGAACTTTCAAACTATGTCTCCAGTTTTTTAAGGGGCTGGGGGATAAGGCTTCAATGTACTGAAATTGTATTGGAGGTTGGTTTTAACTATGTAAAATCTTGCCTTCTTTATGATTTGTTTTCTTGCTTGGTCAATGAAATCTCAACCCTCCTTAAGAAATCAGGACCAGAAGAAGCCTTGAGACATAATCTAGAGTCCTTTCCCATCATGGTGGCCCATAAATTACCAAAAAGAGAATGAGAGAGTGAGAGTGTATATGTCTCTTTGGAGGGATAGGCTTCCACAGAATTGGCTTGGTTAGTAACCTAATAGAATGTAAATGGCATTTTCTGTCAGGACTTTTGCCTTGTACCTAGTCAACTGTTATTAAGTTTGGCAGGTTTCAGATTTAGAGACAAATTCAAGGCCCACCTTTGGTTATTTTCCAAAGTCAAGTTTTATGTACTATGCAGTGATAATTTTGCTCCTGGCTTTTGATTTTTCTTAGGACAATAAGAACTTGCTTTCATTTCTCAACTATTTGATCTTTATTATATATAGATTTGTAAATCACCTTAAATATTTTATGATAGAAAATGAGTCAGAATGGATAAATGCATGAATAAAATAATAAAAATGTCCTCAAGCTCAAGTTTAAGAGAAAATTTGCTAGCTCTGAAGAAAAGCTAATTATCATTCTTTTGTAATAGAGACAGCAATCAGAGCCTGCTTACACCCCAGACACTCCTAGTGAGAAATGCCCTAAACACAGCCTTTTACTTCCCACCAATCATTTGCTCCTAGGAATTGGACCAGAGGCAGACACCTGACCTGAAGGTAACCACTGAATTGGCTGGAAATGGCCTCTAATGTAACCTGGAACCAATAGGTGAACGGGACCAGTCAGATTCTGTCTCCTGAGAATTGAAGGTGCAGCAAGAATGTGTTCATTAGTAAGAGGGAGCTCAATGGGAAGGACCTCTATTAGGGAGGGTCCAGAGAGCCATAATGGCATGTGCACACTGGCCGAGGAAGTAGAGACTACAAGGAAGCCATGAACGTGGTCAGGGGAGAAAAGGGAACGAGTCGAGTGGGCCTACCGGATAGATATGGGACAACAGCAGGACCCAGAACTGCCATTCTTTCTGGAAACTTCAGCATCTGCTTCCAGTCCACATGCATTCTCCTGGCCAACCTCCCGTTTCTCCAAGGAAACCTAGCAGAACCTTTGTTGTTTGCAGTTCAGAGTCTCAATATGTGTCAAAGCATTTTCTTTTCCTGTTTTTACTCACTTGTAAAGTTTTTACTTGATCACTTTGGGCTTTTCATTTCCCCAATAATATTAAAATTTTCTATCTCATAAAAAGATATTTGGGAGCAGAAGTTTGAAGGAAACCAACAGAAAGGGCTATTATTCCCATTTCCTTGTCTCTAAATACCATATTAAAAATTCCTTGATATTTACGAAAGGAGATTCGCTAACTTCCTCCAACGGCTTGCTTACTTTTCTTACAAAGAGTGGAACTCATCTACTGTGAGGCCCCACTGTCTGATATTTGCATATACTGGGGTTTTCTCCACCTTTTCGAGTTGCTGTGGGTGGAATATCTGGCTTGACTTGATTTCTGCCTGAGACATGCACTGCGTCTCCACTCAGTGCTTCCTTCTTTAGGGCTCAGTTCCCTACACTAGAGGCTTGTTTATCTGGGGGCTATAGGAGGAGCATATCAGCCTGTTCCTACACATGAGCTGAAACTTTTTAAACTGTAAACATGACAACAAACAACAAACATACTGTGCTGTAGAGAGATCCAGAACTTTTGGTCCTTCCATGTCCTGCAAGGGAACACTGGTGATTAGCTTGATGGAAATGTAGGTCCCATGGGGGTTCTACCACAGTAGACACCTCTTAAGTCACCGTGTTCTCCTTGTCCTTCATTTATCAGTCACTTCAGGCTTTCAGAAATAAGCAGACATTTCAACCCCTAATGCTTCTCATTTTCATTACTTCTATATTCTTTGGGCCCAGAATACCAGCCACACAGAGTCCAAAATTTTAAATAATTCACGAATTTGTCAATGTTTAGTTTCTTTTGGGGGTCATCTTAGTGACAACAATGACTATATAGCAAATCAAGTCAGTTGTGCAAAATCCAGTTTGCTCATCAGCTGAAAACATCAGGAGGACTTTTCAGTCTGAATATGTTCCAAGAAGTATAATTCTTCCTCACAGTCCAATGCATGTTAACTAAGTCCCAGCTAATGGTGGCTGGATTTGCCACTTTATCTTTCAGGGCAGGGTCCTCTTGTTCTTAACCTTATGAATTACTCACACCTTCTCTATTGAGAAGCTTGTTTTGTAAACCTTTTGCCTACTTTCCATGAGAGAACCCTACCTGCTTAATGGTACTTTTGCATCAGCCCTCCCCCCCACCAAGACATTCATGCCACCGTGTGGTGCATAATGCTCTCATTCTGCTCTGCTGGAATGTCCTCCTTTTCCTGGCCAGCTGTTGAGGCCCAGCGTAAGTCTTCCCTTCTTTTCAAATTCTCCTCTGATTTTTCCAGTTCTTCTCAACTCTCACAGCCTTAGCCATCCGTATCAACTTAACTCATTATTACAAACTGCAATGGATTGTTGCCTGTATTTGGCAGGTCAGACCCTCCACCAGATCACAAGCTCAGAAACGGAACTGAACTATGGTCTTCACTGTGAGCTTATGCTCCACATCTTTTGCACATTAGTTCTGATACACAAAAGAGAAAAGTTATGGTTGCTATACTGCAACTGCATTTTCTTTGCATGTGGAAAAGCGGTAGGAAGCACAGTCACTATAATCTCTTCTATGGGAAAAACTAGAGGGGGCGTGAATCACCTTCCAGATTTGAATCGTTCTGGAAAAGGACCCTTTATTCCCCCAGGAATTGCCCTTGCAGGAGGGCAGCCTGGAGAGAGAGGGCAGCTTTCCAGTTATCCACAAACTTGCTTCCTTAAGTTGTTCTAAGGGAATGCTCAGGTGCTCTGATGTGCCTCATATTCAAGCGCAAGTATGAAAACCTACTCTAAAATGAAACCTAAGTGATTTTTAAAATCATTCTTCTGAGAGTGGACAGGGGAGCACCCACCACAGAGGTAGTGACAACCAGCCATTGTCACTACCGTGGTATCATTGTTCTCTTCCTCCCCAACTCACAGGGCATATCAGTCGCAACTGAAAAGTAGTCTCGAAATATTTGAGTTGAAATATTACTAGAAGACTTTCTTAATTTTCAATGTTTATGTATTTTGCATGTCAAAGATGCAAATTTATTTTTACCATGCAGTCCAATGGCTCCATACTTTTTGACGATTAAGGTTATGGTGGCATTTGCTCACAGCCAGTAAGTTCAAGCTTCTAAGGCAAGCCCTCCAAAGCTAGACTAATTTCCCCTAAGCCCCAGGACTGGAAATTAGGTTACTGCCACTAGGGTTTTCACATGACTCAACCCTTCTCCTAACTCTCTCTGCTGAGGCAAAGCATTTAGCTCACAATCCGGTCAATGCCTTCAAATGAGATCATAATTGGGAACAGGCTTTGTAAGTGTCCCCTTCACTGTGGGAGCTTAGGTCTGACAGCAGCAACCAGAGAGAGAATAGCACAGAGAGTTGCTGTCACTGAGCCAGCCCATAGGACTCTAGGACAGAAGACCTTCCAAGGCCTCGGCTTCTCACTCTGTGGTAAAGGGAGGCAGTACCGCTCTTTATTACATGTAGCAGCCCTGGAGGAGCAAAAGACATGGACAAGTCACCTAACCAGCTGCAGGATAAGCAGAAGCCGAGTGGCGGAGGGAGGAGGGGGAGGGGGCAGGCGAGTAGCCACATTCAAGTGGGGAGCATAGCAAATGCTGAAGTCCCAGAGACATGCTGAGGGCAGGCATCCGGGAAGACAGGCTTCGGAAACACAAGGTCTGGGCTGGGCTTGCCATTGCAGCTCTGCTCTGGAGAAATCTCTTTTGCAGGCTTGAAGTACCACCGGCCCTGAGGCACATCTGCCATCGTTACGAGACCACAATTCAGAAGCGACTGCCTCACACCAAACATGTGGAACAGAAAAATAGGATGAATTTAAGAAGTGGTGGGGCACCTGGGTGGCTCAGTTGGTTAAGCGTCCAACTTCAGCTTAGGTCATGATCTCGCAGTTCGTGAGTTCGAGCCCTGCCTTGGGCCCTCTGCTGACAGCTCAGAGCCTGGAGCCTGCTTCAGATTCTGTGCCTGCCTCTCTCTGTGCCCCTCCCCTGCTCATGCTCTGTCTCCTCTCTCTCTCAAAAATAAATAATAAACATTTGAAAAATTAAAAAAAAAAAAAAAAGAAATGGAGTTGAAAGTCTTGGAGTCACATTCCATGCAGTGGAGTATTGGAGTGGGCTCTCTAGAGCCAATGCCTCTCTTCCCAACTCCACATCCAGTGATGTCAGGATGATGCCTTGAAATTGGCTATTGTTGGAACATTCACACCACAGAAATTGGCAAACAGTAGGGCCACCTGGGTGGCCCAGTCGGTTAAGCATCTGACTTGGGCTCAGGTCATGATCTCATGGTTTGAGACTGAGCCCCACATCACTGTCAGCACAGAGTCTGCTTCAGATCCTCTGGCTCCCTCTCTGTCAGCCCTTTCTCTGTTTGTGTGTGCTCTCTCAAAAATAAATAAATGTTAAAAAAGAAATTGGCAAACAATAAAGCTCAGTGTGGTGGGTGTTTTTCCCCCTGCCAAAAGTCACCTTTGCATATATGCCACATGAGCCGTGTGAACCTTGGGTGATACTTATTTCACAAGGGGATTAGTGCAAATGAGATACTTAATTTGGAAGTCCTCTTTCACCTGTAAAGTTTCTACATGTGTTAGTTTTTATTATTTGAAATAAAATGTTAAATATGAAGCTTTAACATTTATTAAAATCTAAGTGTGTAATTATTACCTTTCATTGCAAGCTTCAAATATGATATAGGACAAGATTTCAGAAAGCAAAACAATTAGGAAGCAGCCTTTTTGTGTTGGTTAAAGCTATTATGTGCAAGTTACAAAACTCCTAACTCCAACCGGCTTCAACGGTGAAGTGAGTTCACTGTCACCTAAACTAAAAGGCCAGAGAGAGTGCCAGCTTAATTCAGCTAGCTTAATCCAGAGGCCAGGCTAAACCCAGCAGGTCAGATGATGCCATCGTAGAGCGGGAGGACCATATGTTCCTGTTTGCCCAGGATAGTCCTGTTTACGCATCCTATCTTGTTTGGTGTATGTCTTGCCCGGTTTCATTCTCGAAGTTGTCCTAGTTTAGAAGATAAATGATATGTTTACTTAACCAAGGTTTGCTCTCTCTGCTCAGTTTTTTTGTGTTGCAGGATTCACCCTCAGGTATCACAAGACATGTTTCCCCACCCGTTCCCCGCAGTTCCAGCCTCTTCCATGCAGAGAGCATAAGATCTGTAGAAGCTGCAGACCCCATAACCTCATACCACCCAATCTAGTGGGCAGAAAATCTCTTCCAGTAGCCTGTGCAAGTGCTGGGATTCACTGCCTCTCCCTGGTCTGATTTGGGTCACATGGCCATTGCTGAAACATCCCTTTGGGAACATGGATTCACCAATGGACTTAGTCAACTGTGCTCACACCTAGAGTAGGCCTGAGAGAATTCCAAACAAATCACCTAACTGAGAATGAGGTGACTTCTCCCAAGGAACAGCAAGTAACTGTCGGCAGCAGAAGAGGTGAGTGGATACTGAAGAGGGAACAAGAATGATCCGTGGCCTTGCAGGGCAGTAAAAGTGCTGGAATAGGAATGAGCCGACCCAGCTTTTAGCTTTTCCACTAACTAGGGTTGGGATGGTGGGCAAGCCCTTGCATGCCGTAGGCCTCAGTTTCTTGTTAGGTAAAGTGGAAGGGTAGGACTAGACAATTTCGAAGGTTCCATTTCACTCACCGTGTTTAATTTATGGCTGTGTCCTCTCATTAGTCTTCAGGGTTATCAATTCCAGGTTTATTTTCATACCGGATTTTCTCACTGGGCCTAAATAGAACTCACCTTGGCTTTATTCCTGATGCTAGAAAACTTCCAGCTCTGGTGGAGATCTGAAATGTTCCATTGCTCCTATTAAGTAAATCATATTCTTTAACTAGCTAACTTTCCCCACAGTTTACAACTTGTGTCAGACCCCGGGAAGATTTGCTTTTAGTTTTCTCCCTGTGAACCAAACAAGTCATAAAAACAGATTTATATCATGGTTTCCTTACAGCTGCATTTTATCCTGGGTTTCTTAAATCAAGAAATTGACTAACATAATGGCTGAATGAATAAAACACGGCAGCAATGAGTGACTGCCTTTAGCAAACTGAGAGGGAGTCTTATTATTTAAATGTTCCTGGTTATATTAAGTGGAGCAAAAGGCTTGGAATGGAAAGTGAGAGAAATAGACAGCCAAGTCAAAAACGCCACCAAGCTGTAAATAAAATATGAAACTGGCTTGGAAAGGGAGCTTTACTTCGAAGTCAAACACTGATATATAGTCCCTAATTGTGGGACGTTTGTAAAAGGTGACATGACACCTGTCAATTATCTACAGCAGCCAGGAAATGTAGATTACATGAATAATTCACCAATCCAGTGCCCTTTGTTGCCAAGCCAGCTAAGCCCAGTCCATAAAATAACTGCTGATAGGAAAGAAGAAAAAATATGTTTAAATCGCCACAGCCGTATGTTACACGCGGAAATGTTTTCAAGGCAGTTTCATTATACAACTATGTTCCAGTCAGCACCAGTGGCTAAATAATTAACATGGGAGCTTTTATCAGGTGTAACAAGGGAGGGGGCTCGGGCTCTGGAAACTTTATAGGTCCCCTTGGGGAGGCCACAGAAGAGTCTTCAGTAACAGAAACATATCGTTACGTATCATCATTTCTCACCCGCACAAGTAGCACACAACCCTTTAAAAAAGCGAAGTCTGAACTTTTGTTTTGGAAACATGGAATCATAGAATAATACATTTGGCAGGTCACTTAGGGATAGCCTACTCTATTGGTTTTTAGAAGCAATGGAACCCCTTTTTTCAAAGAAAACCTTATGTGCATGTACACAACATAAGACAGATAAAAGTGGGATGATTTTAGCTCACTCTGGGAGTGGTGGTGAGGAAGATTATAGATCCCTGGGAACTGCCTACTTAGCAGCCCCCTGCCCTGCACCTCACTCCCTACCCCTGCCCAACCACCTACAGGGATCCAACAGTCCCATTTCACAGATGAGGAAAATGAGGCTCCTGAGAGGCAAAGGGGGCTCCTTGAAGTCCCAGAGCGAGTCGATCGCAGAGCTGGGACTGGAAGCCAGACTGGCGCCACCCATGCACCACAATACACATGTACGACTGTCAGGACAGCTTGTCTACACGGCCACGTGAGCTGCCAGGATTTGGAGAAATACCAGTTCTGCAGCTCCCAGGACCTCACAAGTGAGCTTGAGGAATGGAAACAAGTGACTCTTTCATCTGTGGCCTGGGCCCAGGCAGCCTGATACCTATCCTCCCCCTACCGCCCCCACTTTCATGTTGGCCACAGGGCCAGGGTCAGAGGCCACAGGCCAGGTAGAAGGTGGGGCCTTGCAATGCCCAAGGGACTGGGCAGGCAGCCATAGGTCACTGGAGCCAGCCATCCAATCCACCTGCTTCTCTGGGCTATAAGAACAAGCCTGACTGGAGAGCTACAGGGGGCGCCAATTCCAGGAGCAAATCCAGTCACCGCAGAGAGAGCTTTTCTCACCTCCACAAGATGGTTCATTCCTGTAACTTCCTTCCTACCTAAGGAAGGTCCCAGCAGACTAAGAGGGACAAGAAAGAGGTTCCATTTCATAGAGTGTATATAGAAAAGAAAACTTCCTCCTCATTTTAGGTTTATTTACTACCAAGGTTTGGCTTCATCTTTGAAAGTTTGCAAGGTGGTTTCATTCCTGTGTAAACCCACTAGGTACAAGTGCTTTGACACAGGTTTTCTCTAACCTTGTTATTTTTCTCTAATTGTTCCAACTGATTATACACACACACACACACACACACACACATATATATATATATATATATATATATATATATATATGGCTTATTAGAAGGCTACTGGGAAAGAAAACAAACTTTCTGATGCAGATTAAAGGCAAGTATAATTTCAAGACTTGCTGAAACTCTCTCTGCAGTCAGTCCTCACTTTTAGAATGAACACATGATATTTAGTTATACATAGAAATAAAACTGTGCTGCTAGTTTTATTGTGAAGAGCTGAGGTTGAAAACTGCATGTTTTCACTTTGATCATTCCAACTAGCACAAAGCAAGAGAAGTTGGGCACCTTGATATTATGGCTGCTTTGAGACTGATTCTCTCAGTGCGTTATGCTACTTCATCCCTTTGACTGCAAGGCCGTGGGAGTTTCTTTCAACAAATGGAGTTCATTATTAAATGAATCAATGGTTATCTAAACCAATTAATGCTCATTCCAATAATGTTTCAGTGTCTCTCACGAAGAATCTGGAGAGCTCTTCTCTAGTAAGAGGCTGGTGGACCTAGAGCAGCTGAGGGTGAATTCTGGCAAATGGACAGAACTTCCTGAACCTAAGTTTCCTTATTTGTAATTTGGGTGCCATGATGGTGGTAACAGTGCCTGTCTTACAGAGTGATGGTGAGCATTATGGCTACCTCATTGCCTGACAAAATCTTTGCCCAGGTGGTTTGTAGTCTGGGCTCCCAGAAAGCTGGGGCTGAGACAAAGGCTCACATGCACGTTCTTTATGGTCATGGGATTCCAGGGACCTGGATGAGAAATGGAGGAACCATGGAGGAAGGAGTCAGGGCCTGTGGCCTGTATGAGCATGCATGTTAAGTTGGCTACTGCTTAGGGTTTTCATATTTAGCAAATAAAAATACTAAACACCCACTCAACTCTGAATTCTAGAGAAACGACAAAGAATCCTTTGCAATACGTATGTGCCATGCAATATTTGGGACATAACTTATCATAAACAAATAAAATTATTTGTCATTTATCTGAAATGCAGTCAATGGAGCACCCTATACTTCAGATGGCCTGCCACTGTTACTAGTGATGGGTTGCTTGTTCCTGTAGGACTGTCTGAGAAGTTGTATGAAATCTGTCTTGGGATTGAGCCATTTGTCCACATTCTCTGTTTGGCAAAATCAATGTTCCCCATGGATTGTAACTTCTCAAAGGCCTTCTGTGTTGTTCACCTGGGGTGAGCAGATTCCTACTCCGTTCTGCACGGTCAGGTAAGAAGCCTTCTGTGAGGTGCTGTGAAGCTGCTTCTGTGTGAGGCTGATCTAGTAATGGTGGCCAGATACAACACAGTGGAGGATGTGCCAGAGGCATTCATACAGGGGGTGAAGTGCAGTGATTAACAGCACAGATCTTGGAGCCAAGAAGGCCTGCGTTCAAATCTCAGCTCTGCCAATTACTAAGGTAGGTCATCTAAAGTCTCTGTGTCTCAGTCTTCTCATTTTTAAAATGGGGATAATAATAACACTTAGTAGGATTATTATGAAGATTAAAAACAAATACAGAGTTCTCAGAATGGTCCCTGGGACGCCGTAAGTGTCTGTTGTTATTATCCTGACAGTAGTAGATTTCAACACTGTAGCTTGGCAGCTGGCGTATCTTGAACACGTCGCAGCTGTCAAATTTGATTTGACAAAATTTGCCAAACTTGATTGATGTCTAGAATACAATTTTTTTTTCATAAATGAAGCTAAATGGTATCGCCTTGGTTTGTTTTGGTTTTATTTTTTCCCCAGCACTGAGAATTATTTTCTGCCCTGACTAGTCTTTTATATAATCAGAAAGGAAAGGTTTTTCACCCTCCATTGAGCCTGTGGTCTCCCCCTAGAACCAGCTAGATGCCCTGAGTCTCCCAGCACTCGCTCTCAGGGTCCTCCTCCATCTAGCGCCACAGGAGCTGCTCAGTTTGACACAGTTGGCTGACACTGAGGCAATGGTATGCACCCACGGTGGTAGCAAAATTAAACCTTGAGTATTGATCAGAATATAAAATCATGTTCTGTCACCATATACTGAGATTAATAGCAAGTTTCTACAATTCTGTGAAACTTGCTTCTTTGGCCCAGTGTTTACTTCTCAGTTCCTCAAGTGGCCTGCCAAAAATTCTAAAATTTGAAACTGGGCCTTCAACCCAAAATTGCTGAAAAATGCTGTCTTAAAGAGCCATTCAGGCTATGTTTCCTCTACAGAGCCATCTTCCCGCTCTGTGCCGAGTTACAACTGGCCCCCCCATGCTCTTGGGAAACCTGCTAACAGCCTCACTGGTAGCCCTGACTGTGGGGTGTCACACTGGCTTGTTTGGAGGTCTGCTTCCCCGAGGCTGCTGAGCTCCTTAGGATGGGAGCCATGTACGTTCATCTTTGTATCTCTAACCCGCAGCCCACATCTGGCACAGGCTGAGGAGCAGGGCTGCCTTATCCAGTAAGCATGGTAGGCTCAGGGTCCACAATATTTTTTAGGGGGCCGTGAAAATGTTTGATTTTTCTTAAAATCATAAGAAAAAGACAGGACTGTTAGTATAGAACTTTTATTTATTTAGTTAGTTAGTTCTAAAGGTTTTATTTTTAAGTAATCTCCTCACTCAATGTGGGGCTCGAACTCAAACCCTGAGATTAAGAGTCTCACATCCCATCGACTGAGCCAGCCGGGTGCCCCTAGAATAGAACTTGTTTTACTTTTTTCTTCATATCAGAAAAATGAAGGATTCTTAGGGCCACAAAAATTTATTAGACTATTTTAATGTTTTGGTTTTTTTAATGGGGGAAGGGCCCAAGAACGGAGAAGTGCCTAGGGCCCACAAAAGTCATGATGTGGTCCTGGTGTTGAAAAAATAAGTAAACAAATGATTAAATATTATAATGACTGTTAAAAAATGCTTTACAAATGACAAAGTGCCATGAAAATGCAGTTTATTATTAAAAGCTGACAATTTTATTGCTGTTGTGAAGTTCTCTTACCCATTAGGACACTATACTCTAAGGAGTTTCAATTATTTCTCTAAATTCAAAGGTTTTCTTAGTCATATTCATATTCTTTCTTGCTGTGAAAGAAAAGATTTAAGTGGCTTTATGTGAGGAATATTTTAGTGTGGACAGGGGAGGGGCAGTAAAGGCACAGAATATAAAGGCTCTGGTAATCAGAAGAGCTATCCCCGTGTACCACACTTCAAAGGAACCCCTTAAATGAAAAGCTGAGTTCCTACAGAAGGTACACCAAGATGGCTGTTGTTTTTACAAAAAAAAAACGGGGGGGGTGGGATTCCTGAGCTTTAACCTTCATGACGTTGCCTCACCTCTGAGAAAAGTGAAGTCCTGTACTTCTGAGGCGATCTGGTGGTATATTCTATCCTTTGAGTTGGTTGATGACAAATGAACAGTTTCTCTCTTGGAAAATATAAATAGCAGGGACACTGATGTCCAGGATATCTTCAAAGAGATGCTAAGAACGTTCTGACCTGAAGATCACTTGAGGAGATGATACTCAATGTGAGCTTCCTCATATTACCAAGTAGCTACATCCTTATCTTGCAATCTTGAAGGGTCTAATTCATATCAAAAAGAAACTTCACTTTCTGAAATTATTCTCAGGATATTTACTTTATTTATTTATTATTTATTATTTTTTGAGAGCATATGAGCTGGGGAGAGCAAGAGAGGCTTAAGCAGCCACCATGTGGAGACTGATGCGGGACTCAATCGTACGATCCTGGGATCAGGACCTGAGTGGAAATCAAGAGTCAGATGCTCAACCGACTGAGCCAACCAGGTGTCCCAGGAGAGTTCCTTTAAAATGTGAGTTCTCATAGTGCATTTAAATTTGAGAGTATAAAATGACCAGAGGTGGTTACTTTAGGAAAGTTCTTTCCTCTTTCCTTTCTCTTCTGAGTATTCTATAATGTGGCTATAGTAGACTCACAAGGATAAAACAAGTAAGAGTTACAATTTATGGAGTCCGAAACCCTGCTCTAAGCTCTTTACATACATTTTCTCATTTAAGGAGAGAAATTAAGGATGATGTAATTTGCAAAGGGTGTTTTACAAAACTATTGAGAAAGAGGAGGACATGTTCCACTGATAAAAATGACAGAAAAGCAAAGTAGACTATAAGAGAAAACCTGCTGTATTATTCCCTTCTTTCAGTTTTCAGTTGTATGTTTACCGGCCGGGCTTCTGCACAGCTTGGTTTTCATTTGGTGCAGAAGGCAGAGAAAAGCCCTTATGAAAGCAGAGTCTGATCAGAATGGTCATGATCGGGCTTCCCAGGAGATGGGCAGCCAAAGAACAGAGAGCAAAAGGAATAAAAATTTCCAGCAAATGAGTAACTACCACCTCTTGAGGGTCTCCAGCTATTGTAGACAGCCATTCTAGGCATCTTACATTCATGAATCAGTGTCACATTGGACAACTTTGGGGAAGGCTCCTGTGTTCCAGGCACTATCCCAGGCATTTTTATGTTTATTAACTAATCTTCCCAATATACCAACAGAGTAGGTCCTATTATTAGCACTCTCATGTTAGAAGCAAGGACAGTGAGGCAGAGAGAAGCTCGGTGTCTTGGCCAAGATCACTCAACCAGTAACGCATATTGGTCTGGAAACCAAACCCTGGAGTTACGCAACTTAATGTGGGGCTTGTAACAATTCTAAGAAGTAGGGACTTTCATTATCCCATTTGACTTTCGGAGAACGGGAGATTTAGAGATGCTATATGGCTTCCCGGAGTTTACCCAAGCAGCCGGGCCCCTGGGCCCACGCACTGAATCGTTTCAACACACGGAGTCTCCCTGGTCAGGATGGCGCCTCCAGACTGTCGAGAATGGCTATAACAGCGACAGAGAGAGGTTGGTGGCAGAGAATAGAGGTGAACTGACACGTGGGGTTGGGGTGGGAGCACAGAAGAGGCTCTGGGGAGTATGGAAGAAAGAGAAAGGGGACAGCCTCTGTGCTTTACAGAACAACAGTGAGCTAATGCAGCTTTCCAGGACACAAGAAGACGAAGCAAATCAGAAAATATACGAGGCAGAGAGTTTTAACAGAACCATGGGGACAGAGGAAAGGGGACAATAAAAGTGCAAGGAAAGAGAAGAAGGTGAACAAACTGTAAAGAAGGCTGTGGTATAAGTGCCTGGGAAAGTCTGGAGCCACCAGCTCCTGGAAGGCCAGCCTTGGGTGGGCAAGGTGACAGCTCACTGCTCATGCAAGGCCTCCTGAGGCTTTGTGCAGATGGCCACAGGCAGCCCCCTCTCTGTGGGGGTGACGCACACGTGAGGATTGTAAGACGAGGCCCTTGGGGCTCTGTTCACAATAAAAACATTGTACAGGCCTTCTACACATGACTCAGTGTGTATTGTGTGTCTGACTGAAAGAAAGATCGGCTTTACCTGCAAGTGCGAACGTGTAGGCTGAGTTGAAACGAGTGCACAATTACATAAGAAACAAAAATACCTGGGGAGCAAGCAGTCTACTGCCTTCCAGGGGACATGCAGAATCCCTAGAGGAAGAGTGCCAGGCCACTCCTTTGCCAACTGCGAGAATAGCTGTGGTTGGACAGGGTGTTTTGTTTTGTTTTGTTTTTACCCCGGCGCTTGGCACAGAATCCTGAGCACCGAGTGGGGCCCCTGAACCCTGCCTGACACCAAACCTTGTGTTAGCTAACGTCATTCCTGTGTTACTTTGTTTGAGAAGGACTGGAAAACAGCAAAGGGGAAAGGGAAAGAGTCATTCAAATTTGTCTTATGTGAGGACTTTATGTGCTAAGCCTGAGAGAAACAATGTAATGTTTGAAAGTAGGGGGTCTGCGGAGAGACATAGGTTCAAGCCTTGGCTCCATCATGTCTTAGCTGTGGCACCCTTGGCAAGTGACTCCATCTTGCTGGATCTTCATTTTTCATCTATAAAATGGGTGTAATGGTAGGACCCACCTCAGAGAAGCTGGTAGGTGTAATGGTAGGACCCATCTCAGTGTGAGAACTGTATGAGATCATGCAGGCAGATAGCTTCACTTAGAACCAGGCACCCAGCACCCAGCAAGTGTTCACCAGTGTTACCATCTGTAAATTGAGAGAGATAACCTTCCCAGGTCCCTCAAGGGACACTAAGGCTGCAGCCAAAGGTTAGCAAAATGAGGGCTTTTTGAAAAGTACTTAATAATATCTATTCTCTCCTTGGCAGTGTGATGAAGTAAAAACAATTATTGACATTGAATTCATTAAAAGATTTAGATTCTGGGATCACCTGGGTGGCTCAGTTGGTTAAGCGTCCGACTTCGGCTCAGGTCATGATCTCACAGTTTGTGGGTTCAAGCCCTGTGTCGGCCTCTGTACTGACAGCTTGGAGCCTGGAGCCTGCTTTGGATTCTGTGTCTCCCCCTTTCTCTCTGTCCCTCCTCTGTTTGTGTTCTGTCTCTGTCTCTCGCTCAAAAATAAATAAACATTAAAAAAAAAAAGACTTAGATTCCGGTCTCTGGACCTTCATCTCTCATCACTCAGTGGGGGCATTAACTAAGTTCCCTTTAACATCCTTTTCAGCTCTGATAGCCAGTGCCCAGTCATCCCCCTGACTGACTGCAGCAGGAGGGCAGAGAACCTCACTCTGGTGGGCTTGTGACTGTAGCTCCCATCCCCTCTGGCCTGCCAGGGCCCCAGGTGATGGATTCAGAGAGGCAGAGAGACAGAGAGAGAGAGAGAGAGGGAAGGAGGAGGGAAGGAAGGAAGGAAGGAAGGAAGGAAGGAAGGAAGGAAGGAAGGAACAAAGAAACACATACCTAGGAAGATGTCCCAGATATTTTAAGTGAAAAAAAGGCAAATTGAAGAACTAGAAATAATTCTGTTGAATAAATATTCAAGAATAATTTAAAAAATATAGATGTGTGTATGCAAGGATTATCTCTTGGGCAGGATTAAGAGAAATTTTACTTTACATTTTACACAGTTCTGTATTGTTTGAAACGTATACTATGAGCTTGTTTTATTTGATAATCAAAATAATAATACTAAAGATGTGAACAAAACTAAAATGTGTTTTCTGAAATTTATTTTAGAGAGAGAGAGAGTGAGCAGGGGAAGGGCAGAGAGAGAGAGGAAGAGAGACAATCTTAAGCAGGCTCCATGCCTAGGGTGGAGCCCGACACAAGGCTCCATCCCGAGACCCTGGGATCACGATCTGAGCCAAAAGAAAGAATCAGAAACTCAACCAACTGAGCCACCCAGGCACCCCTAAGACATGCTTATTGTAGACAGTTTGGAGGGGAAAAGAAGAAAAATCACTTATAACCCTCCCCCAACATAGAAATATTGCTACTGACATTTTAATTTACAACCTTTCAGTCTTTTTTCTATATGTTTATAGCATAGAAATATACATACGTATTTACAAAATGGAATCACATTTGTCCATGCTGTCTTATAATTAGCTCCGTTTAACAATATATTGTTTGTATGTTTCCATGTCATTAAAGTTTCTTCTACACTCTACAGCACGATTTTAATGACTGCTTCTTTTTCCATATTGTATGTGGCCAACTTTGCATTGCTGCACATTTTGGCTGTTCTCCGTTTTCCCCCATTGTAAGTATTGACAGGCTTTTGGAGAATAATGAAACGCTGAAATGCTTGGCTTTGTTTCTCTCTTTGGGTAGAGCTGGCTGCTCTCTTTTCTTCTTCCTCTTTGTATCCTTTAGCTTTTGGGTGGAGGCCCAGAGAGCTCCACAAGGGGTGGTGTGTGTTTAAGAAACTCAGCTAAAGAAACAAACGGATCGCAGAGAGCTCTGAACCTACAGTGTTGGGAAAATGCTGAGCGCTGTAATTGGCCTAATGTTGCTCCCGTGAGAGATGCCATCTGCCTAGGCCTCCAAAGTCCTGGCCAGGATTTTAACTTTTCTCATCCAGCTGATGACAGACAAATATTCCTCACTTCAACAGTTATGCGCAACCCCCAAAATGTTTCCTCAAGTCTGTCAAACACTCATGGGAAGAGACTACCAGCTCATCCTTGAAGACGGAGAAGCAGGCAAGGTCACGTCAGCAAATCAGGACCGTGGGCTTTAAGTTTCATTGAAAAGATAGCCTCTTGGACAGCTCTGTTCCCTGCTCCCTGAGCCAGCCTGTTGGTCCAGTGGTGACTCAGGAAGGAATGCCACTGACGAGCCACGGGCATGCCAGGGAATTATTCGGCACATGCCAACAAGTAACCTCATACGATAATCAAACGCCAGCCAATCTGCGAACACTTTGCGTAACAGCATATTTGGATTTGGGGCTTAGCTTTCAAAGCTTGAGTTTCACGTTTGCCTGAGCACATTCCCAGCCTCCTGGGGCCTCTCCTGTGTGCCCTGCCTCTGCTTGCAAGTGCAGAGAGCAGTTCTTCCAAGAGCCAGAGCTTGGCTCTCCCCTCGAGGTAAAGCAGAACTCTGCCAGGGATCAGCGGGCACTCATCAGTCTACAGTTCTCAGTTTGGCCAGCACTGCTTCTCCATATGCCCTGTTTCTTACCAAAAGGCCAGCAACGTGGGTGATGCATGCCTCCTTTTGCTGTGGAGACGCTGAAAAGTCATTCCTAGTATTGTCAAGGTCTTCGATGCACCTTATCCACAAGAGAGATTTGTTGACTGACAGCTGCTGGTATAACAATGTCCTATCAGGTCTGGCTGTAGGAATCGGCAAAGTATTACCACATCAACAGGTATCTGGGCTATCCAAGAGCCTCAGAAAGGGCAAAGAGGCTTGCAAATTTTAAGACTCCTTACTCCTGGCTCTGGTCCTTCTCCTGCAGATACCCTGAGAGCCAAATGTTTGAA